CAAATTCCTTCCTCCTCTTCCTCCAGTGCCAGCCTCAAATCCCCCAGCAAATTCCTTCCTCCTCTTCCTCCAGTGCCAGCCTCAAATCCCCCATCGAATTCCTTCCTCCTCTCCCTCCACGGCTCAGAGGCAGAATTAGAGCGCCCTGCTCCGAGGAGGTGAATTTAGCCCCTGGCAATTACATCTGATAAGCCTTGTCCTTCCCTCCAAGAGAGCAATTCTGTGTTGCTGCACGTTCCTCCCCCTGCCTCCTTCTCCTTTCCCCCCCTAAAATGCCAGCTGGAGGCTTGTGAGCAGGGTATTAGGGGATTTGCACTGCACGCTGCTAAATTTGATATGTCCTTTAACAGGAGACAAATGGTTCACAAGGCTTAAAAAGTATCGACTTTTCTTTAACAATAAGCACTAATGGCCTTCAAATAATCAATATTTAAAGTCATTATGGGGTTACACATTATACTGTTAAAACCAAGCCTTTCACTTTAACCCCATCATATCCTCCAAGGCTGAGCAGAGCTCCCCCGGCCCGAGCCAAGCTCGGGGGAAGGCTGGGAGCACAGGCTGAGACTGGAGATGTGCGAGGGTCAGGAAATGCAGATTGAAACCGGCAAGGCATGGAAATAAATTTAGAACGGATGGAAGAAGAGGGGAAAGGGGGGGGGAAAGAATGCATGAAAGCTCTGCTTTCTTCTGCTCTGCATTTGATAGGAAGAGACACTTTAAACCCGAGGTAACAGGCAGGAGGCACAGAGCTCCTCGCTGCTCTGCCATCCCCAGACACTGCCAGCAAGGGAGAGGAAATAAAATCAAAGGCCTCGCTAAAAATGCTGTTTGGGATTTCCAGGCAGGAAAAGAACACGTGCTGCAGTGGCCTGGCCACGGAGAGGGGCTGGTTTGTGCTGCCCCCTCAAAATCCAAACTGCTGCTGAAAGCAGACTGCTTCAGTCAGGGCCAGCTCTTTGGCCTTTGCTCCGCAGCACGTTCAGCCAGATGGGAACCAGGGAGGAGAGATCCTGCCAGGGCAGAAATCAGAGCATCAGGGACTCAGAGAGGGGAGGGGACACAGGGCTGGGCTGGGTATGAGCAGGAGTGCCCAGAGAGGGCAGGAGCCGTGCCCAGAGAGGGAGAGGGCAGGAGCTGTGCCCAGATGGGGCAGGAGCTGTGCCCAGAGAGGGCAGGAGCAGTGCCCAGAGAGGGCAGGAGCCGTGCCCAGAGAGGGCAGGAGCCGTGCCCAGAGAGGGAGAGGGCAGGAGCCATGCCCAAGGAGCCAGCAGGGAAAGGAAAACCACCCCAGAGCAGGGGGGAGGCCTGAGGCGGTGGAAGAACAAACCGTAGCAACAGCAGATGGGAGGAAGGGAATCCAAAACCCCGGGCTGGGTATTTTGGGCACATCTCTGCTCAGAGGGAGCCTCTGGCTGGTGCTCGGTGTCTGGCAGCTCCTGCGGGGAGGCAGGGGTGCCTCTCTCAGGCTCCCAGCCCCAGCTCCCTCCTGCCAAGGGCTGGGCTGCCCAGGACCCCGGGCTGGGGGGCTGCTGGCACCTCAGGCTGGCAGCATGCCGTGCTCCTGGCACTGCTGCTGCCTCCCCCAGACCCCGGGGGCTGAGCCGTGCTCCCCTGCCTGCTCAGGAGCACAGAGCCACCCTGCCTGTACCCCCAGCCCAGCTCCTGCCTGCCTCTGCCTCCCCCCCAGAACCCCCCGAGCCCCCAGCTCCCGCTGCGGGCACAGAAACCAGCGCCCAGCACGGAGCTGATGCACCAAAGGCAGCCAAGGGGCTCCACCCCAGTGACCAGAGCCCAGCCAGCCCTGCCCCAGCTCCTCCAACCCCTCCGGCGGGCAGGGCACCAGAGATCTTCCCTGCAGAGGAAAATCTCCCGGGCTGCACACAGGGACGAGCGCCCTGGCAGGAGCACGGCAGGCTGGAGGGCCCCAGCAGAGCACTGCCAGCAAATGCTGGGGACAGCAGCCAAGGAGCAGCATCCAAGCAGCTCTGCAGGGAACAGCCACCTGCCAGCTCTGCAGGAGAGGCAGCAGCGTGCAGATGGGCACAGCTCCAGGCTGGAGCGGTTACGGTGGCACCTCTCAGTTGGACCCTCTGCTCCTCCGAGTCTTTTTATAACACTGAGCTCAACCGTCTCCCCAAACAGACCACCGGGCCCTGGCACGCCAGCATCCCAGCTGAATCCATCCAAAGGATCTGGGAAACCAAAACCACGAAACCAAATGAATTCTTCAGACTGTGGCTCGAGTCTGCTTCTGGCAAGAGGGCTCAGTTTCCCTGCCTCCAGGGAGCAAAGAGAAAAAGGGATCGCTCTGCCACTGCCAGGACCTTGGCCCAAGAAAATCCATATCCGTGTGCTCGTGCCTCATCCCCACAAAGCTAACCTGCCAGCCTGTTTCTGAGCAACAAAAATAACACGAATTAATTCACTAATGACACCCTGGGTTGATCTGGACCTCCCCGTGCTCAGCCCACCCCTCCTGCCAGCAGCACCTCCCCGTGAGCAGCCTCCACCCTTCCGTGGATGCTTTTCCAGGCAGCCCTGGGGCCGGCCTGGCTCCTCTCCAGCCCACACAGCGCTGGGGAAACGCTGCTGAGAGCTGCAGGAGGCTCCTCCATCCCTGCATTCCTCCCAGGTCTGCTCAGGAGCTGGGATTTATGGGCTGGGTTAGCCAAAGTACACGCTCTGGGAGAGAGGCTCCCAGGGCTGCCGGCCCCTCCACGCTGCAAAGGTGCTGCTGGACAGGAGGAAAACCAGACAGGATCTCCAAGGCTCTAAACGGGGGGGGGACTCTGGACTCAGAACATCCACACACACGCCACAGAGCCGACAGTGCAGCCTGCTCTGCCTCCACCCCGACACAAAAGCCAAGAGAAGTGTAAATACCTGAGCCTTTCACTGCTCATCCCGTGACATCCAAAGGCTTTGCATCCCCACAGCCCCCTCCTGTCCCCTCCATCCCTGTCAGGAACGCATGCAGCTTTAATTTCATTTCCCTCTGAAGTTCTTGATTGCAGAGGGAATGGCTCGTGGCACAGAGCAAGATAAATGAGCTAGAATTTCCTGGGGGTGGGGGGATATCAGCTTTCCAGCACTCCTAGCAGTGGGAGAGGCAAGCTGAGGCTCCTTTCCTTAACAAAGAAAAAACTTCTCTTTCTGTTCCATCTCAGAGCCTTTCTCCTCCCTCATTACCCGGGGATGCTGCACAAGGCAAACTTCAACACCTCAATTTGCACTTTGTTGTGCCTACAAAGAGGTGAGAGCAGCATCTCCAGCACAGGTCTGGGACCATTCCAGCCTGGATGTGGATGCAGATCAGCACAGGCACAGATCCCCCCCTGCCCACAGCCACCCCAGAGTGGGGCAGGAGCATCGCCAGCACCTGCACAACTCCCAGAGGCCACGGCCACACCTTGCCCAGGTAAATCAGCTCTGCCGCCCTCTGCCATGGAATGACACCATCCCAAAAGTTGGCAAAGCCCTCTAAAACCACCGAGCCCAGCCATTACCGTGCACTGCCGTGCTCACCACCAAAGCACGTCCCCAGTGCCACATCCACTCGCTTTTTGGGCACTTCCAGGGGCTTTTTGGGCACTTCCAGGGGCTTTTTGGGCACTTCCAGGGCCGGCGGCTCCCCGGCTGCCCATCCCAGCCGCTCCCCCTTCCCACCCGCCCGTGCCACCCCTCCCGGCCGGTGCCGAGCCCGCCCCGGTACCTGTCGGGGAAGTGGCTGTCGCGGTGCTGGGGGAGGCCCTGCTTCCTGCGCTGGCTGGACGAGTTGCTGGCCGAGGGGATGTGCGCTTCCATCGCGCCCGGGGTCCGCGCCGCCGCCGCCGCCGCCTCCTGCCGCGCCCGGAGCAGATCTGGGGACAGCAGGGCAGCGCTGAGGAGCTGCTGGAGCTGCCCGGCCCCGACACACGGACACGCTCACGGACACACGGACACAGCCCCGGCGGCTCCGCCGTCCGCCCTTCCCCGGGGCCACCGCGCCGCTCGGGCGGCTCCGGAGCCCGGCGGCAGCGGCGGCCCCGGCGCTGCCCCGGCCGAGCCGCGGTCCGCCCCCGGCGGCCCGGAGCGTGGCGGCGGAGGGAATTGTGCAAGCGCGGCAGGGGGGTGGATTTGCGGGTTAATTGCCTTCCTGCCGCAGGGAGGGAGGGCGGCGAGGAGCGGAAAAAAGGGAGGGAAGGATGCGAGGAGGGATGGAGGGGAGCGGGAGCAGAGGAAGGCATTCCCCCAACTCCCTCTCCCGGCCGGTCCCGAGCGGAGCCGCGCTGGCACCGGCCCCGCTGCCGCCGGGTCCCCTCCGGGGCTCTGCAGGGCTGAACCGGCCCGGCACAGGGAAGGGCTGGGCCCCGGAGCCGCTGAGGATGGGGTACAGAAGGGGAACCCCCGCCCTGGCACAGCCCGGAGACAGCTGCAGGTGAGGAGGAAACGCAGCCCTGGCACCGCGGCAGGACCTGTCACCTGTGCCACCCTGCCTGTGACACCTGTGACACCCTGCCTGTGTCACCCTGCCTGTGACACCTCTGTCACCCTGCCTGCGATACCCGTGACACCCTGCCTG